GACTCACATGGTTGCCACATTAATTAAAACTACTAGATCCCAGGACGTTTTACAAAATCTACTTTATGTCTTCGATACCTTACCGCAACCAATATTACGGAGCGTATGTTTTGTAAACACTAGAGCTAGTATAAATTCTATTGACTGCCTAATACCTCTTTTTCGTCAAACAAATGAAGAATTCTTTTGCTTGTCGACTCAGAGGTTTCTGCATTTTACCAAAATGCTTAAGAGGACACCTCACAGCTTTCAAAAACTGTTTTAATAAAATAACAATGCAAATATTAAGGCTAAAAGAACGGAAATAAACCACAAATAAACAACAGCCGATGGCGTAATTACCTGAGAAGCATTGCGACAATGTCACAACACAAAACTGTTACCACATAAAAAAATGTACCCAGAACTATACGTACCAATTTAAGATCTACTTTGCATTGAGGTTGGTATAAAAATTTACTAAATAGGACATAACTGCTTTGTTCCAGTGATAAACTATATAAAAAATGTAATGATGTAAGGTAAGCAATGTATCATAAGTGAGGTTAGGCTTACTCGCAAACGTCAAAACATTAGTGAACCGGCAACTATAAAGACAATATGGTTTGGCGCTCTAAAAAATAATAAAATCGATGAACTACGGTTCACTTTGCTTATAGATGGAAGAGTGCTGTATAGTAAAAAAGGTTCAGCTATAAGTTGTTTGAAATCGCACAGATAAGTTAACTTTCGACGTATCGTAATATGCTGCTACATGCGAGCTATTTTACCAATTTCCATTTGCCTAACTGAAGCACATATCAGATATGTGCTTCAGAATGAACGACAACGCCCTTGCTATTTTTAGATAAATATTGACTATGCTGATGACGTTTACTGAAATACTCGAAAGGTTGGATTCTGTCCTAATTCATTTAAGACTATAACTTTGTTTATACAAATAATAAATATCTATATTTATACTTTACATATTGTATGCATCATTAACATTGTCTACATGAATAACACTATGCCCACAATTACAACTGAATGCGCGTATACCATGGTGTATTTTACATTATGTAGCCGCCTCTGCTCGAATGTCACCCTCAGGTCTATTGTTAGGGTGTCTCCAACAGAGTTCGTTCTTCTTAGACCTGCGAGGCCAATTCGCCAGTATCTTATTCGCATTCCCAATTATACTATACCGCTGATTCCAACCAATGACAAACTGCAAAGAAATATCTCGGTGTTCTGCATGCGTCTCTCCCAAGTCGTTCTCTCGTGCACCATAGAAAAACTGTGTTCAATACCTGAACTTGGTCCGACTATCTCATTGGCTATCTCCCACTACTTCTACGTCCTTGAACATTTTTGCATATGATGCCTTTAGCGCCCGAAAATTGTGATTCATAATTTTATGGAAAACAGAAGTTATTCGTAAAATTTGTAAGTTTCCCTCTATTTGATTCGCTTTCAGAGCCGTACGCGGGACATTACACTTAACGTGGAATTCCGCGACGCATGTTTATATGAACCATTTTTGATGATTTTATACTGAATTTGGCCTCAATTCCCTGAACAATATTTTGTAGCCTTCCGTAAACTACAGATAAACCTCGCTAAACAGACATTGCGAAAATCCCACCAATATTCGGAGAGACTAACACGGCTAACCCATAACAAGTAATTTATAGTATACCAAGTCACCAAGTCAAACAGCTAACGCTGAATAGGAAAACCCTTGAAGCTCTAGTGAGACTGTATATTGGTTATTGCAAACTACGCACCCACAGGAACACATTTTGTGCAAATCCCCTTCAATGGGCAGAGGCAGATAAAACAATCCATAGTCAGTGACAAAGATATTAGAGGACCGAGTAAAAACTATTTCGTTTGAATAAACTTTAGCATACACTACATGCACAAAGTACTACCAGAGGCGACACATTGGCAAAAATTATGTTCTATCAGCGCCAACTTGAGTCCAATACGTTTGGTAGGAGTTCCGTTGCAGTCAACTGTTACTGTGACATTTAGTGATATTCGATTTAATTACTTCTACGCTTGCTGATGATTACATTCAATATAGAAATGCATGTAGGAAAATGGTAAATTAATAAATAAATTTCTTATTCTGTACTTTGACGAATGATATTCGTGAAGTCAGACTGATGAAGCGTAACCACCCCTGCAAAAAATGCGCTAAGCAGTTGGGGGCACGAAGATCAAAGAGACTGACAGTATCTATCGCATCTGTCTAATCTGTGGTATAGGTAGAGGAGCAAGAGGAAGTAATGATCAAATTTTAAAAGTGAAAGCATTTGCTGTATCGTTGTGCCACCCCAATGCCATACGGGTACATTCGTCAAGACGTAGTCGGGGTAAGCTTCTGATGAGATGAATTACATCTTCTTGAGGTATTTCATCCCAAGCTAGCTGCACTTGGTTCCGAAAAGCTGTTAGCATTTGTATCAGATGACTTAAAGAGATCACTTATTATTATTATTGAGGACTCTATTATAGCTCCAGCAATATGGCGTCGGGTATTATCTTGTTAGAAAATAGGGTTTTCAAGTATTTAGAGGAATGTCAAACAAATCTGGTTCCAGTATTTCCTGAATATACCGTTGCGCCATCATACCCACTCTAATAGAAACTAGAAGAGACTTAGCACCATACTTGACCTAAACTATGAATCTTTCTGTGTGGTACTCCTGACGTTAAACTGAAGGCTTAACGTCTTTTTTCGTGGCGCCTTCTGACAGGTACCTGTCCATGATGCATTCCTAACAAGAACCGAGGTCGTCCTTAAAACAAAGTTATACCATTCGCCATCCAAATTTTCTCGGTCTCATTGCTGTTTTAGGGTTGCAGGGTAGGAGTCAGGAGCTATCTAGGAGAAAGACATGATGTAAACCTGTCAGTTGAGCTCACTTACATCAAACTGTATGTCATGTTTATTGTCTAAAGTCTAATTTAATACTTTTACAGTAATTTATGACAATTTACAACCATGTTGACTGGACTACGGCTTCCGCGTCCTGTGGGGAGTCATCGCCCGCTGTCGACTGCTGGACTGTTCACTGACTACTTCCGCCATCTGGTCCAGTATTTATTCCCATATCGACGAGTCGAGAAATATTCCAGCGTTTTCCGCGAACTTCCATGGAAGTGTTCTAGTTAGCACCAGATTCATATGCAGACGTGCCCAAAAACGGCCACGCCTCATATATGGTCGCGTAATTCTGGTTGCCTAAGCCTCGATTCCAATTCTGGCAACTTGTTGAATATTCTAGTTGGTGTACGAACCATTGTATGAGGAATCATTAGATATTGTAATGACACCTCTAGTTTTTATTAGAGGAGATATGGCAGCACACTGGTATGTCATGTTTAACGAAAACGCCGTTTCTTATTGTCCCAAGTTTGACATATTACTTTTAGACTAATTTATGATAATTTATAACCTTGGTGACAGGACTACGGCTTCCCCGTCCTGTGGGGAGTCATCGCCCGTTTTCGAGTGCTGGACTGTCTACTGACTGCTTCCGCCATCTGGTCAGGTATTTATTCCCCTATCGACCAGTCGAGAAACATTTCAGCGTTTTCCCGAACTTCCATGGAAGCGTTCTAGATAGCACCAGTCTCGATCCCACTTCTCGCTTCCTGTCGAACCTTCTAGTTGATGCATGACGGTGTCTCTCGCTGGTAGCCAGAGTTCCAGTTATACTAGGGCGTTAAATTATCATTCCTCCAAGCGCTTCAGAAACCTATTTATCAACAGGATAATAATCGTTCCCGTATCCCTAGTGCTATAATAGACTTCCTCAATAATCGTCAAATTTTCAGATCATTCACCAATTAAATATTCATGTGACATGATGAGGATAACAAGCTCTCCACCTCATCCTCCACGACGAACGTTAGCACGCTGGCAGCTTTCTGGGAGCAAGTACAACTAACCTGGGATGTAACATAAACTGCCCCGTTAGGACAAAGACGTTATTAGCTATATCACAAACCTTGTCATTTCAAATTTCCTCTTGCTAATATCTAACTGAATACAAAATATATTTCTAATAAATTCATTTTCACTATTTTCGTTGTCACTGACTATATAGTGACGTAATGCTACAAGCAGGGCATGATTTCAAAAACCCCTTTGCTGTCAACCTCGGTCAGTCTTGGTCAGTCTTTCAGTTCGCCACAATTACGTTTCACGTCTCTGTCGGTGTTGGTTACGTGGTTATACTGCTTTGTTTGTCGCCATGCCCCACAGTAAATTTTCTCGCAAGGTATTCAACGTAGTACGATGGCGTCAAGTGAAAGACGTGCTAATAGTTCTGTTACAAAATTTTGCAAGCGTTGTGGTGTTATCGCGAAAAGTGGTCCGCAATGTGCTAATTGTAAAACTGTCATATATGCGGTATGCGCCAAGTACATGAAAAACCTGCAAAAGATTGATGATAAATCGGTTATCTGTTGTTCTATTGACGACCCCTCAGAAGAAACAATCAAAACAATGGAGGTCGAACAGATCGACGAGGATAGCGACATCTCATTTTGCAGTGTCAGAGAAATGATTGATGTAGATATAAGTGAGAAAGACAATATATTACTAAGGGAACTAATCAGACATAAGAATTTGATTATCAAAACACAACAGCAAACCATTAAAAGTTTGCTTGACCAAGTATCAACTTTATCAAAGATATTGGAACAGACATCGCCATCTGTTGCCGATATTAACAGGCAACCAATTGTATCGTCATGTTATCAATACGGAAAACACAAGACATCTACCAACAAGTACAGTGATGTTATAAAGAAACCATCCAGTTCATCAATTCAAAAGCCAGTCACATCGAACGCAGCCAATAATGCTGGCAACTCTGTAACGAGGCAGCAAGTGGCACTTGCAGTCGAGCATGCGCTGTCGTTAAATGGTGCTGCAGTACCAGTAGAAACGTCCGCGTCCACTTGGTCCCCTTCAACTCAATAGTCTGGCGACGGCGGTGATGGAGTTACAAGCGAGAGTACGTGGCAGTTAGTTGATCGACAACGCAGAAGACGCAATCTAATAATTGGGAATGGGTCCGACAGCTGTCCGGTTAAGGGCATTGAAATAAAAGTTGGGTTGCATGTCAGCCGAATTCATCCGAAAAAGAAATTATGTGAGATGGAGTCAATGGTTAAGGCTAATTTCCCTGAGGCTATTGTTGAATGTATTACTTCAAAATATCCGGATATTTATTCGTCAATTAAAGTAACTATATCAGAAAGTAACTTTAAAACTGCATTAAACGTATCAATATGGCCGAAAAATACGTGTATAAATCGTTTTTTACAGAAAAGAAGAGTTTTACCGACATCGACATAGCCTTCCAGCCTAATCTAATACTGCTTAATGTTCAATGCTTAAATATTGACAAAGTCAATCAGCTACATGTTATGGTGTCTGACTATGCAAGAGTGAAGTTCTTCTGCCTAACTGAAACTTGGGCTACAGCTGAATCACTTAATAATTTTGTTATTGGGAATTTTCAGTTAGTTAGCTCATATTTTAGATCGTCGTACAAAGGCGGTGGCCTAGTAATTTATTGTAGAAATGATGTTGTTGCTAAACCTATTGACGTATCTCAGTTTTCGCTGGATAAGAATATTGAGTTGTGTGCCATTCAGTTCTCAAATGGTGGTATACGTAGCATCATCATTTTGTGCTATAGATCTCCCTCGGGAGATATGAAAATATTCCATGACAATCTGAATAGGGCTCTAAATTTTGTTTTTAGGCCAAATATAAATATAATTCTCTGTGGCGACTTCAATGTAGATTCTTATAATGGCTTGCATCCACAGGTAGGTTGGCCAACAAGGATTGGGCGCACGTCTATCACAACGATACACCAAGTTTTCACCAACTTCAATGATAAATGTTTGAATTCGTTGTTGATAATGTAATATCTGACCATAGAACAGTACTTATAGAAATTATGGAATGTCTTCAAGCTGAGGATGCGGTAAAAGAAACAGTTAAAAGGGTTTTTAATACCCGGTTTGTTCAAAACTTCGTTTTAGACTTAAGTAAGGAAAACTGGTCACCACTGTATAGTTACCGGGATATAAATAATGCATTTGAGTACTTCTTTCGAGTGTTTGACTATCACTTCCAAATACATTTTCCACTGCGTAAATGTCTGATTAAAAACAACAGCAAGAAATGGGTCGATGAAAATGTAAAGTTGTCGAGTTCATGCTTGCGTGAACAGCATATGTTCGGTTCTTACTCAAAAATTGGCACTCGTACTTTGCCAGGAAAATGGAACTGCCAGGAGCAACAATTAGGCTGTGTGAGCTACACGAGAGTCGCACATTAAGGTTATGGAGTGATATACTCATAAAAAACCTAAGTAGAGTAATTCAAAGTAAGATGAACGGCTAGTTTCTCAGATACCATCTTCGTTTGTCCAACGCAACGTTTTGCCAACTACAAATTTTTCATCAAAACAAGCCTCCTCGTTTTCCTTAGAAAAGCCTCTCATCTATCATTCAAATGAATTCCGAAGGCATGCGAGACCCTCGGACTATTTATGCATTGGATGTTTTCTATCGTTCTGGTAGAAAAAATGTCTGTAAACAACTTCACAAAAAGGCTCTCCACCAGCGCATCAATCACCGGATTGTGTTCATATACTCTTTGTATGAAAATATGATTTAATTGATATTGGATGTGTACAAACGGTGGTTTTATTTACAAGTAGAAAGAGATGCATTTGTCGGAAAACGTACGTGATTGTATTAAAAAATTGCATCATATTGGTTGGCTCTATCGACTACTAAAAGTATCGACCTATCTATACGTATTTACATTCGGATTTTTGCAGGCATCCCCTCGGGAATTTGCCATTTTGCATGTCCCCGTTATTAATTAGTTTGCAACGTGCAAAGGTATTCATATGTTCTTAGTAATATATCTTCCATGACGTAATGAGAAAAATTATCTGCTTCTACGTTATTTTTAGCAAAAAATGCAATATTGAAACTAGACGGACGACTGTGAAGCTGCACTGACTACGCTGTATACATCGTATAAGATGCGTGAGCGCTTTACTTATCATTTGAATGTGTCATTGTGAGTTTTCGTGTAGATGGAGGAACTTATCATTCGAATTATCTTTATTTTTATCTTCAGTGATTTTTTTGCGTCTTGTGAAATTAATAAAACTGATTCATTTATGTCAAATCGTAACCCACAAGGCAAAATAATATGTTTGATTCATAGTTAAGTTATGATTATGTTTTATTTTAGGTTCCCTGTGGCCTTGTTATTCCCGAACCGCAAGTTGGATGTTTTTGAATTTTTGCTCAATGCTCACTTCATACATGTACCTTTATTATTTTTTTACTTGTGAACAGCATACTACGCACCTTTTTAGCTATATCAATCTTATGTGAATATAAGTATATTTTTCGTCGTTTCTCAGATTAACCAAAACTTTGTTTTCTATGCAATGCATGCTTTTTGTGCAAGTTAATGTGCTACATTGTTTCCTGTCCATACGTCTTGATACTTTTTGATACTGTACGCATCGATACTATAAATCAAGTCATGCCCCTGTATCAGCAGCAAAATACATGTTTAATTCTGTTTTGAATTTGGGCTAGTAGATCAGTTAGGCAGCAGCGGTATCGTAGTGGTAGGCGTTAAGCGCCGCTGTGTGGATTCGAATCCCGTCCCAAGAGAAATTTTCTCTTGGTTATGGATGTTGTTATTGTCCGTAGGTGGTAGAAAATCTCTGACTGTCGAAGTGGAGGCACCACCCGGCGGATCTGTAAAGCAGGGCCAGATTTTGTACATATTGCATGCACACCTATTCCCGCGCTAGACTCCGTGTGTCGTCCCCACGTTCCTCTATAGCCCCACCGGTGTTTAGGCGTTAGGCCTTCGTGGTGGTTCAGGTATAAAAAAGTAGTGCTTGTAAAGTTGACGTTTTTTACCGAGATGATGAGAATCCTATTTAAATGAACTGACATATATAGTTATGTATGATAAAACATCATTTATGACTTTGAACGAAAAATAAGCCGACTATTAAAGGATACATCATTCTGTTTTACTGTATCAAATAAAACAAGTTAGCTTAACAAGATGTTACTTGATTTATATAATGTACCAGAGGAGTGAAAAATTGTCAAATTCACCGTACTCAAAAACGAAATGTCCATATTGTCGAATCCGACTCCGACCTAGAATACCTAGCCTCTGCTACGCCACTGGATCGCAGTTCGAACGTGTAACCTTGCAAATTATATGTCCTCCAAAGTCGGTCAATTTCAGGATTTGTTTACACTCGCGCTCTTCCCTGGCCCATCGACATGTGCCCAAAGACTATTTTTAATTTTATGAATGAGTGGTTGGCTATGTTTGTACTTGCCTCGCACTAGTACATTTCCGAATCATACACATGTCCAAAGTCCATAGGATCTTTCGTCACTTTCAAGGCATAAGCAAGAGGAGTACTGCGGAAATTTTTAAAGCTTAATGATACATGAATACCTATGAAGGAGTTAAATGACAAATCAGGGCTAATCAAGTCAACCAATTTGGGTAGTTGGGCGACAATGTCGCTGAACCTTAAAAAAAGAATAGAAAAGAAGACAATATGAAGCCTACTATACCCTATTTCATGAGTATCCCTCACGGTAGAATGACACGTGGTTATCTAGTAATATCTCAAAATGCCCCATATCAGCAAAGGACACATAATTCTGACGGATCCGACAATGCGAGGTAGACAGAGCCATATTTTGTTTTGGTGTTTTGTACGCTACAGATTCATTTTGTACTTGCGCTTCTCTTTTATTTAGAAAAGTTAATTTTTTTATATGTCACTTGTTAATCAATAATCGATATGGATACTCGTGAAATAGGATTTATGAGGAAAAGTTTGCTACTCAATCTGTCGTCGACTTACAAACTGTCAAAGTTGAATGTTCTTTTGTACAAAATATCCCGTAGCTCCAGAAGTAGTGATCCAAACCCTATTCGCCAGTAGCGAAGTGGATAGTGGGGGGAAATTAATCGATTGCCGTGTGGGCAGTGGACAAAAAAGCCTGCTTAAAAGTAAAATCTAGGCGTGGTCTATATGGTGGAATCTGTATCATGTAGGGTCAACTGAGGCCTGGCAATGGTGCAAATATTTTGCTGTAATTATTTGTTAGATCAAAAGAGAATTGTTAGTCACATAACACCTAACTTTATAAAAGAAAGTTAAATGAGTTACTTTAAAGGTGTGTGTGATAGGCAACCAAAGATTCTTATATAGTTAGTACGGAGTAAAACCACAGAGTGGTGCTGATGCTGGATTTTCCCGTCCCAAAGTTCGATGCTTTGGCGTTGATGTACTCGTGTGTACTTCTGAAGTGAAAGTTGAATTTTGTGAGGCGGCGGCATTTTTATTAGTTTTGAGTTGGTGATACTGATATTTATTAAGCGTTAAACTGAATTTAAATTCACAAACCCAATCTTTGTAATGGAGGCTTGTCGAAAACGGGGACTTAAGGAGTGCCTGGTGCCTGGTCGTACTGATACAATCAGTAAAAAAATATGATGCCGCTACTTTCAACAAATGGAAGCAAGTGCGAAATCCAGTTTCGAACAATAAGTCACGAATATTTATAAAAGCCATTTGGTGTGTGAGTTACATTTTTCAGAAGTGATAAAGTGTCTGGAACCAAGAGAGGTCTTAGAACAGTTTTTCCTAGATTACATCTTCCTGAACTTCAATCTTCAAGTAAGTAATAACTTTGTTTACATATATAAACCAGTGTTATCGGTGAATAATCAGGATTAAATAATTCGAACATTTTGGTGTTCTAAAAACTTTCAAAGTATTTATGATTCCCACAACTTTTGGAAAAATTTACAGCATTATAAACATAATGAAATTTAATTATTTTTTTAAGTATGGTTTCGGAAAATGTTCAGAGTAGTACATCGGTATTACCGATTATTTTTAGATTACTATTGTATTAAAAAAATACACAATTTAAAAATAAAACCAGGTTGAGCCTTATTTTACTTAAAATACCTTGGATATAATTTGAGTATTCTATTCCAATTTAGCTCCACAGTGTAAGGAGGAAGTCGAAAGATGGTGCTAGGTATTCTATTCTAAAAGTTCGTATAGGTTCCATAACAAGCTCGGAGTATATACCAGGGGTGGCACTACAAACTTAGTGACAAACCTTAGCATTACAGATTTTCTTATAAAGTAGGTGTTATGTGCTGTTAGTTTAAAATTCAAATTGTCCCCAACGTCAACGCGACTTAATGTCTGTTATATTTATTGGTGTATGTTTGTGTATCCACATAGTCATGAATCACCTTGTAAAGAGCAAACCATTTTTCAAGTAAGAATGGTATTGAAAATCTAAAGCAATGGAGCTGCTAACGACCAATCATACACTAAAAACGCACCATGTATAAAAGTGCATGGAAAGTATTGGTGTCTCCCACACCCGTAACGCGTAACTTAAAAAGTAACATTACAGCGATTTTTGATGAAATTATGTAGGTTCTTCCAAAAATGTCACCTTTCAACCAGCTGTCATTCACTCATTTTCACTTGTACTAGCTGTGCCTAAACGTCAGGACACTTGATCTATATGGTTTGACTCTGATCTATTCATTATTTTCTGCCAGAGCAATCTTGCTTTTTTGCTTGAAGTATCGTCTCTCAGGTATGGTTGCCCAGATACCAAAGTCAGGGAGAAAGAAGGAAAGAAGAAAAAAGGGTAGGAAGGATGTAGAGCAAAGTGCGTGTTTGGCGTTTTGTTTATCACTATTCTGGAATTTTATGCTTATTCTAAAATTAATTCAGAGATGGTTGGTGCAGAAAAATTGTAATTTTGGTTGGACACAGTCACACGATTTTATTCTGTTCACAGTGCATGCAAAC